TGCCAGCGTCCACTTCGTCGGAGGAGTAGGCTCGTTGCAGACCGCAACCACATCACCTTCTTCGATGTTGCGCGAAGAACGAAACCACTTGGTGCGACGCTGTAGACTGACGAGATACTCGTCTCTCCAACGCCGCCAGAAATGTCGCCTCATGGCAGAAATAGTTTGCCACCGCTGACGAAGATTTCCACAGAACCCTTGACCCTCAGGTTCTGGGATTGACTTTAGGGGTTCGCCAATAATAAAATGACCAGGAGTTAGGACTTCTAAGTCATCAGCAGCTGCAGAGTTGTCACAGAGCGGGCGGGAGTTTACGCAGGCCTCTACTTCAGTCAACAGCGTGTTGAACTCTTCATAGGACAGTAGAGTTGCACCCAGTACGCGTTTCAGGTGATACTTAATGCGATTGACGCCTGTTTCCCAGTATCCACCCATATGAGGTGCAGACGGAGGGTTGAAACGCCACTCGATGTTTGAGTCGGCAAAGAACGAACGTAGTTTAGCATCTGCCATGCACCGCAGGAATGCAATTCGAAGTTCTTTCTCAGCGCCGACGAAATTCGTGCCGTTGTCAGACGACATGACTCTGCAGTAGCCCCGGCGGCTTATGAATCTTTTGAGCGCATTCAGAAACGCTGGTGTTGACAGGTCCCCAACAAACTCCAAGTGCATGGCACCAGTGCACATGCATACAAATGAGCAAATGTAGCCCTTGGTCGCCTTCGCTCCTCTACCATGGGTGAACTTATATAAGTAAGGTCCAGCGAAGTCGACAGCGGTGCGGGTAAAGCAACGAGCGTAGGTGGTACGAGTTGCAGGTAAATCTCCCATAGATTGTGTGGCGAGATTGCGGTTTAAACGGGTGCATTTCACGCATTTATGATATATGCTACGTATAAGGCTGCGAGCACCAATAAGCCAGTATCGGCGTTGCAAGACGGTCTGCATAATGCGGGGTCCAGAGTGTAACGTGAACTCGTGAATATCGTGGACGATTAATTTTGCAAGCGGAGAGTTTTTTGGTAGGATGGCTGGGTGCCTTACATCAGGAGTAACTGCAGCATGCTTCAAACGACCTCCAACACGCAAGACGTTTTTCTCATCGAGGTATGGTTGCAAGCGCAAAAGACCGCTGCGAAGCGGGATTGGCCTTTTTGCGCTGCAAAGAGAGATTTCGTTAGAAAAATAGAATGATTGGGTATACCTGATCAGGCGCAGTTCAGCTTCGGATAACTCTTGACAACTCGGAGGACCGAATCGCCTAGCAGCATTGAGCCGAGTATTCACTCGAGCGTTGACAAAGAACCTTAGCACGTAAGCGATGACGCGGCGCAGTTTGGAAAACGACGAATACTTCAGCATTATAGGCCAGTGCTCGTTTGAGCTCGTAACATGAGCAACGACTTTGCTTCGAACGCCTATCTCGGTTGTGTGCTGTTTAGACGAGGTTTGTTTCCAGAACTAGTCAGTGTTCTTCAAGAATTCGGGGCCCGTCCACCACAGTTGTTGATGCTGCAGCTCAGATGGAGTTATACCTCTCGAGGCACAATCGGCTGGATTCAGTTCCGAGCGGACATGGTTCCAACACTCAGGAGGAAGAATTTCCTGAATGTCAGCGACCCGATTGGCGATGAACGTCAGCCATTTGCTAGGATGCGCTTGTATCCACGCCAACGTGATTGTGGAGTCCGTCCAGGCATACAACGGATAGCGGAGATCGTCCCAACTGTGTAACACGCTTTGCACCAACTTAGCAGCGAGATGCGCAGCGCATAGTTCTAGACGGGGCAGCGTTGTTGTTTTAAGCGGCGCTACTTTGGACTTCGACGAGATCAGCGCAACAGTGACCCGGCCGTCGGGTTGCAAGGTGCGCGCGTACATAACGGCGGCGTAAGCTCGTTCGGCCGCGTCAGCAAAGATATGCAGCTCAGTGAGTGACCCAATTGACCTGAGCCAATCCAGCGAGTTACCTTCAAGTTCGAAAGAAGTTGCAGCTCCGAGCGATGTGCCAACCACTTCATTGCAGTAGAGTCAGGAATGACGTCATCCCAACCAACATTGTTACGCCAAATCTCCTGGAACCACATTTTCGATCTTATCGTCGCTGGAGCGAGCAGTCCCAGAGGATCGAAAAGCGTGCTAGCATCAGATAGAAAGGTTCTCTTCGTTAAAATAGCGGGTGGCTTCTTCAAATTAACCACGAACGTTAGGTAATCCTTTGCTGTATTCCACACTAGACCCAAAGCGTGGACATTCTCACCGTCGACTAAGTAGTGAGATATTGTTTTCGATGCATTTGATATTTTTTCGCAAAGTTCCGCACAATGCGATGCCCACTTTCGAAGCTCGAAGCCACCTTCTTTCAGGATTTCGGAGACATTTTGCTGTAAAAGTAGCAGCTCTTTGGACGATGTACCAGTGATGAGATCGTCCATGTAAAAGTCTTTGTGGATGACAGCAGAAGCTTTCTCACAAATGTGCGAATATTTTGCGGTTTGTTGTAGCGATCTCACAGCTAGATGACAAGCGGCTGCCACGCCGTAAGTTACGCGCAGCATACGATAGTCTTGTATGGGTAAACTCGGATCTCGACGCCATACAATTCGCTGTAGATCAATGTGCTTCGGTGCTACGCATATTTGGCGGTACATTTTCGCAATGTCCGCGGTGAGTGCATAGCGATGCGTTCTAAAACGCGTTAAAATTGAAAATAAGTCCTGCTGCAGTTGAGGACCGACAAATAATGCGTCGTTCAGCGAATTTCCGGTGGCCGTTTTAGCCGACGCGTTGAAAACGACCCTCAGCTTAGTGGTAACGCTCGAATCCTTTACAACAGGGTGATGCGGCATGTAAAACATTTGATTCGTTGATTCTGGTGCGAGCTCCATATGATTCATGTCGAGAAGTTCCTGCATGAACTCATTGTAGCGTAGCCGCAGGTCGTCGTCCCGAGCAAGGCGCCTCTCGATGCGTAGTAGGCTTTGGACAGCATAACTTCGCGAATCGCCCAGAAGTACGTCGGTCTTCAGCGGCAGTTCAACTACAAAGCGACCGTCAGGTGCTCTTTGGTGCGTTGTTTCGAAGAGTTCTTCGCAGTGACGCTCTTCGTATGTGAGGTGGGTCTTTTGCGGAGCTTCTTCTAACTCCCACAGTCTAGTAAGAGCTCTATCCAACTGGACATCGCAGTGCAGCGACTGTAGGCGAGGTGCAGCAGGTTCTATTCCGTCGACGCTTCCAAATAGCGTCCAACCAAAGACAGTGCGCTGAGTCATCGGCGTACCAGGTGGACCCTTACGGACTTCTGAGCAAAGGAGCTGTTGCATGACGTCCATACCAACCAGAATGTCGATACGCCCGGGTTTCATGAACTGCGGATCGGCTAAGAATAAGCCTTGCACATGCGGCCACGCTAAAACTGACAAAGTCTGTGTGGGCAAGTCGCTTGTAATCTTGGGTAAGATTAACGCGTTGATAGGGAAGCATTCATCTAAACAATACGACGACAATGAAAGTAATACCTCACCTCTAGAGCGGCCTCCTTGCAACGAACCGATGCCAGTAATGGATACTGCGGACGCTTTTCGTGGTAGACCTAGACGTTGTACACATGCCTCAGTTACGAAGGACGCATGCGAGCCGGAATCAAACAGCAAGCGCGCGGTTTGCCAATGACCACAACAATCGCGGACTTTGGCTAGGGCGGTAGCCAATAGCACAGTTCTGTCTTTTGGACGCGGCGGGTTGGAGCTAGCATTCAAATACGAGGATGTCCATGCAGCAGCGGAGCCTGTGGACGAGGCGATAGCGGATGAAGTGTTTGCGTTTGATTGTAGTGCGGCATTCGGTGCGAGAGGGGATGGCGTGACAGGAGACGCATTGTAGACAAAATGAGCGGTGGTTGTGACGTTAGTTGTAGAGGAGGCATTATGCAGCAGCGTGTGATGACGTTGCTGGCAGATCCTGCATGCAGAGGAGCTATTACATTTTGCCTTGTAATGACCGGAGCTTAAGCAGTTCGTACACACGCGCGCTTCTCTGACAAACTTCGATTTCGCGTTTGAGTCCAGGTTGCGAAACTTATCACAACTATATATTTTGTGAGGACCTTTACAATAGGTACAACCTGAGCTGTTTTGTTCCTGCACTGCGTGAAACACATTCGTGGACTTGCTCGCTGAAGTGGTTTTACCCTTGGTGGGTAGTGATGTTGACGACGAAAGCATGGCCAGAGACCGACACCTAACTTCCAAAAACGTGGCAGGTGCTCGAACGACGGAGGCTCATCACTGACGAGTGATAGCTCCCACTGTTTACGCGTCTCGAATGCTAATTTGTTTACTACTTCGTGTACCAACCAATCGTCCCAAAACTCTACTGGTCGACCTAAAGCCTTAAGTTCGCGTATGTGTTGTTGAAATGCGTCGATTAAACTTTTTATTGTGTCAGCAGTATCACTAGTAGCCTTTTTAACATCGGCTATAGCTCTGAGATGCCCTTCCACTATTACCCGCATGACCTTATAGCGCGATTTCAAAAGGTCCCAAGCTTCATCGTAATTAGCGTCACATATTTTGAAGCCACTTATAATTTTTAACTCGTCACCTTTCAAACAACTACGGAGATAGTGCAGCTTTTGTCCGTGCGACAATGCGGCATTACTATCCACCAGCGAAGAAAATGCATCAAAAAACCAATCCATTCTGTGGAGTCACCCGAGAATGTAGGCAGCTCCATTTTGGGCAGACGTATCGATGCAGACACTGGCATTTGAGCGGGCGAGGGGTGTGATTCGGTACGACACTTCTGTACGCGATTAAAATTGGCTACAGCCGTAGAATACCAAGTCTCGGCTTGAATTCGCACATTTTCTTCGACCTCTGTATTATCACTTCCGCACGAGAGTTCTACCGCGTCATGAGCGGTATTGAAACGAGCCCACTGTTCGTTAAGGAGTTGCAGATAACTTTTTTAACACTTTCTGCGTCCATTAAAAATGCTTCGTCTGTGCTCTTAGCCATATATCGCTTAATGGCATTGAGCGCAGAATCGCGCGTTTTAACGAAGTTCGACATTTTTCGTTTTGCTTTTGACGAGTCGTTCGTAGGTCACAAATTTAATATTTGGCACTTGCAAAGGGCAATTGAAGGACGCGTTAGGTTTATAGAGATTCTTAAGGTTAAATGAAGGACGACCGCACCAATGTAACAAACGAGTTAATGCGCTGAAATCGGCTCTATTTGTTTAAAATCCACGCACGGTATTTTTTAGCCATAAAGTAACTTGCCGTAATTGCAAGTTGCACTTTTGTGTTTAGCAGGGATCGCAATTATAGCTCTAGTATTTTGTTTTAGTTCACTTGCGGGTAGCACTCTGTTTTCTTTAGTTTTTATTTGCG